GCAGCAAAAATGAAGCAGCAGACGCGATTTTGCTGCTTTTGCTGCCCCCGGTGTGAACGCAGCATTAGACTGTTGAACGTTTGAGTCTGCATGCAGCTGCTCACCTGCCAGTGCTCCTCCAGATTTCTGACTTGTTGTCTCAGTTCTTTCAGCCCGGTCAGAGCCTCCGCTTCCCTCAGCTTCACCCCAATCAGCTCGTCTTGGAGTCGCGCCACATTAGTGTCATCTGGTAGTGAGGAGTTCCTCTAGAAAAATGAAAAAAGGTTGAGCAGGGGAAGCCTGTTCTGTTTGCACCTGTAAAAAAACATCTTACCTTCTCCATGTCCAGGATCTTATCTTGCATTTCTTTAAGCGCACACTGGGACTCCGCCTCCTTCAGCCGGGCCTGGACCAGCTCCTTCTCCAGCTGCAGAACGGACTCCTCGGAGAAGCGAGGCGGTCCCTTCTGGAACCCAAACAGGACGACGGTCAGAACGAAGGGCAAAGCCTCGCTGAGCTTAATAAACCCTCTCAGTTCCAGTTTTCATGTCTCATTACTAATTCATGTCCATTTACTGTTAAACCAGACAGCAGATTATGTAAAGCAGTGTAATGACAGCACATTATGGTGTGGAATCCAGACATGAATATTTAACAACTTCAGAAACGAACAGAGAGGATTCTGGGAGCAGGGAGGTGGGGGCTGCTTACAGATTCATGAACACAGACAGTAAAACGGTGCCTAACATGTGTAGACCTGTGTACCCATCTGGATTCATGCATACCCCAAACAGATGGCTGCCTGACACCCATGAGTGAGGTGATAAGACCCCGCCTTCCACCCCCCCACATAGGGGCTTCAGCCTGAAATGCAAAAAGCTGAAATCCCTTCATAGACGACTGATTGTATCATTAAAGACGTGCAATTTATGCATTGAAACCCCCCAAAAAAGATCAGTTAGAAATCTGTTTAAATCACACAGATCTGCAACCTACACCTAAAGCTTCGCCGCGGCGTCCCTCCAGCGAGGTCATCCGCCCTCCCCCCCTCCTTACCGCTTGTGGCTGCTGCTGCTGCTTGATGGTTTTCTTGGCCTGCTCCAGCTGAGCAGCGGCCTCCTCGTACTGCTGTTTGACTGTGGCCAGCTCCCGCTTGACCAGGTAGTTTTCCTCTGCCTCTTGGGCTCGAGTCACTTGTCCCTTTTGGACATAAGCAACCGAGGAGCAGTTGGAATGAGCACGGCAGGAAGTGAAACGGAAAAGGGTGGGATGGGTGGGCAAATCAAAACAGAGGTTGGGGTGAGGTTTTCATGCTTGTTTTAACACTAGCAACTGTCATTCCTGTTAAGGTTTCGATTTCCGATTGTTTTATTGGGTCCAACATGCCGTAATGTGGAGTTTCATGCACTGAATGAACAATGTTATCAGTTGCGATGTGATTTAGCTCTTTATTCATCAACGTTCATTAGATTTTGATCGTTACCTGACAATAATTTAGCTTAAGAGGTAAGCATGCAGTGCATAAATGGAGAGAGGGAAAGAAAAAGGACTTAAACGGTTAGAGAAAATAAGGAAATATACCTGAATCAATCTATCTGCCAAGGAAGCACTTTCCTACAAAACAGAAATATCAACAGAGACAGCAGAGAGAGAGACAAACCAAAGGACAGTTAAAGCACAAAAAAGAACAACTGATTGTTTCAAAGAAGAAATGCAATGTTCGTTTTCCCTCCAGAGACAATAGTTTAGGTCCTGAAAACGATGACGCTCAAACGTAAAGGTAGAAAAAGGAACATTGCATGCAGGCGTGGTGAAAAAAGGGAAACTAAGCTGGTGACAAAGTAAGATGAGTGACTCTGCACACAGAAGAAAGCTACAAACACTACAGTGAATAGTTAGAGCGGGTTTAACTGAGCAGAAGCGCTGCTGCGTCTCATCCAGGTTTTTTAATGGCTCCAGATGGCGACAGGTTAAATGTGAAAAAGGTTCCAGTCTGCAGGTCAAAGAGCAGCAGTTTGTGTCGACATGTTCAGAGCTCCGAGGTTCCTTGGCGAAGCAGCAGCCCAGCAGACACCCCGGTTATCCACCAGACCTCATGCACGGTGCAGCGTGTGCGCCCCCTCAGGAAACATGAGGAACAGCTACACCCAGCATGCAGTGCTCTGAGCAGCATTTCATGTCAAAAAGCAGCCCTCAGATTCAACATCAGGGTTCAGACTCCCTGCTTCACAAAGTCATATCTGAGGAGATCTCAGCATTCTCAACCTGAGGTTTAAAGACGGTTATCAGGAAATACGACCATCTGAATGGATTTAAAGAACAAGAAATCCATCGGGTATCCATCAGTACTGCTAACATAGGCTGGTTAGTGCAAGAAAAGGCTCGGTGTGTGAACGAACAAAGCCGGATGGATTATTGGTGAGAGAGGAGAGGTTTGTGTTTTTGCTGTGAGGAACTCACCTTCTCCAGTGTGTCTATCCTCTGCTTCAGGAGCCTGTTCTCCGTCCGCAATCGCTGCAAAACAAAGACAGAAACACAACCGATACGCTCATCAGCCACAACAAGAGGCTCCTGACAGGGAAATAAAAAAGTATTTTATTATAACTGGTGGAATGGCTACTGGGGAAATTAATCAAACTAGAACTAGATTGTTAGATCTTTACTTTTTAGGTGGAAATTATTTCCTTCCACTTCTCAATAAACCACCCAAAATACCCCCAAAAAAAACACAACAGCGATTGATACGGAAGAGGATTAGGGCCACTGAAAAAAAAAAGTTAGCTGATTTTTAAATTTTATTTCAGTTTATTATGGGAAAAAAGTCAGAATTCTGACTTTTTTCTCAGAATTCTTCTGACTTTTTTCTCAGAATTCTGACTTTAATCTCAGAATTCTGACTTTTTTTAATTGTCAGAATTCAGTCAGAGTTCTGAATTTAATCTCAGAATTCTTACTTTTTTATTGTCAGAATTCAGTCAGAATTCTGAGAAAAAATTCAGAATTCTGAGAAAAAAGTCAGAATTCTGACTTTTTTCTCAGAATTCTTCTGACTTTTTTCTCAGAATTCTGACTTTAATCTCAGAATTCTGACTTTTTTTAATTGTCAGAATTCAGTCAGAGTTCTGAATTTAATCTCAGAATTCTTACTTTTTTATTGTCAGAATTCAGTCAGAATTCTGAGAAAAAAGTCAGATTTTCGATTGTTTTATTGGGTCCAACATACCGTAATGTGGAGTTTCATGCACCGACTAAACATTATCAGTTTGACTGAACTGACTGTAGACCCTTAAAATGTAATTTGTTTGAAATCGGATTAAATAAACTGAAAATAGTATTTAAAAAGAAAAGAAATGACCAACTGTATTGGCATATTTTGTATTTGGATGCGACATTGATTAAAGGTTCCTACTCACCTTAATCTCCACCTGTTCTTCCATCTCTTTCGTTTTGATTGTAGTGTAATCCTTCTCTAACCTGGAAAATTTGAGAGAAAATATTTCATTATTCAAAGTTTAAACTGTAACACAGAGACGATACGGGTCAATCCTTCCGTCTTTATTAACAGCCTTTTCTGGGCAAATCCATAAAGTGTTGCTCCTCTTAGCCTCTTTAACGTATATGTGACAATAAACAGATCTGTAACCAGAAACGATTCCATCTAATAATGTAATCTAATCAGAGTTAAAAGATGACAGAAATGCTCACTTCTTCATTTTCTTGACGTTGTATTTAACTTGATAGGCAGCCTGGATGACCTTATCTGGTCCGCTGTCCAACTGATGTGGGATGACCTTTTGGAAGTACTGAAACCCATGAGAAGAAACATGAGGCAGGATGACTTTTCAGCCTGATGCTGGGTCCACCAGAGTTAATGTAGGCGGGGGGGTAAACACAATGAAATGTGACCGTACACACCTGTAACATTCCCTCCATGTCCAGCTGGATGAGTTCAGCCTGATTCATCTGAAGGATGGCCAGCCCCACGCGGAAAACAATTTCCAAACCCTGAAGACCAAAACAATGAACTACTCTCATACTTAGGATAAGGCAAGCTAAGTAGTGATTTAATTAAAAAATAAATCTTTTACCGTATTTTCACGACCATAAGGCGCATCGTACTAAAAGGCGCAGTCTCAGTCATGTGTGCCATTACAGTATTTAACACACACATAAGGTGCACCGTACTATAGGGCGCGGGTTTTATATACCGGTACATGTCCTCTACTACGTTTAAATACCTCTACTGCGTATTTAAAAATAGAGCGGGAGCAAAACTGAGTATGATTGTGCTTTATTCATGTATTTATTACAAAGTATTAATCAAACCCATCGAAGTCATCATCCTCTGTTTCTGAATTAAACAGCTGTGCTAAATCAGACTTGCCAATTTCCCCTTCTTCGCTGTCAGAGTCACTTTCCGTGCCGGGCGGCTCCTCGGAAATGATGCCGGCTTTTGCGAAAGCTCGAACAACAGTTCCAGCAGACACGTTAGTCCAAGCATCTACAATCCATCCGCAAACGGTGGCGTAACTTGCTCGGCGCCGCCTTCCACTTTTCGTGAAACTGTGGTCTCCGTCGGTCATCCATCGCTCCCACGCCGCTCGCAGCCTTACTTTGAACGGCCGGTTCACACCGATGTCGAGCGGTTGAAGTTCCTTTGTCAGACCTCCCGGAATAACAGCGAGCACAGCGTTCATTTGTTTCACCATGTTTTTCACATCGGCTGTGAGATGGGCACGCATGGAGTCACAGATTAACTGCGATGGTGATGCGTGGAAAAAACCACCTGGTCTCCTCACATACACCTGCCTCAGCCACGCTTTCATCATCTCCTCATCCATGCAGCCCTTTTCATTTGCCTTAATAACGACTCCAGTTGGAAAAGTTTCTTTAGGCAAAGTCTTTGTTTTTAAAAATCACCATAGGCGGCTGTTTCTGTCCATTTGCGTGGCAGCCAATCCACGCCCACACTTCCCCCTTTAACGTTCTCATGGCGGTCTCAACAACGTCCGCAGTAACAACACACATAGGGCACACTGCACTATAGGGCGCGTCGCACATTTTGAGGGAAAAAAAGAAGTTTATATGTGCCTTATAGTCGTGAAAATACGGTAATCATTGTGGATTTGGATTATGATTCTTTGTGTTTTTTAAGCAACAATGGTGCAATCATTCTTGATTTTTTCAACTTGAAGAATCTGCAGCAATTGCCATCATAGTGTATTGTTTTTTTTAATCTTTTCATACTGTGATCAGGGGCTTCCTAAAAACTCCCAACTGCACTTTGGACACCTTGTTTTATAGGCACCACAGAAAGTGTGATGTAAAGACTTCTCCAGCAGGTGGCAGTATTGCACTATTTATTTTACATTACCATTACTTAACATGTTTTTTCTTTACGAAGTTCTCTTAAAACTCTTCCAAAATTCCAGTTTTATTGTAAGACAACAATTGAATCTGGTGCAAAAGAAAAGTTAAAGTTCTGTGAGGATTATTTTCTAGTTAAATTACAAATAAAAACCGACTAGCAGAAGCCATTGATTAAGCGGCACCACCGAGTCAAAACCACTTCTTTTGGAAAGTGTTGAGCCACTTGTTTCGACTGACCTCACACATGAAGATATCAAAAATCCTTGTGGCTACAGGCAAAGGGAAGGAGGTGAGGAAGATGGTGAGGAACCAGGAGGAGGCGTACATGGAGGTATGGAAGCTCTGAGCCTGGAAATGAATGTGAAGCTCTGGAAGCTGCTCCTGTAGATTCACAAACGAAACATTTCCATCGTCACATCAATCCAAACAGCAGTTCTCTCTCTTACAGGGGTTTCCAGATGCTGAGCCTACCTGGATCATGCTTTCAAACTGGTACATGCAAAGTCCCAGTTCAGCCATACTGGGTTTGAAGAGCTCTCGCAATCTGTAGTCCTGCATGAGCTTCACAAACACACTGAAGGCCTCCTCCTCTGGCATCTAGAACAAACGAGACACGTAGCATCAACACAAGAGGAATCGTTGCTGATTGATGAGCTGTTAAATCGTTTCAATGATGTTAATACCTGCATGAGCAGCAAACCGACAATGAATGCACTTCCTTGGCAGTAGCCCACCTCACGATCCACCAGAGAATAGGCCTGAGGGATAAAAAGAGACACCCTGGAGTTATCAAATACTCTCTGATTAGCTTCTTTCACCTAATTGATGTTCTTTCAGGTTGGAGGAGGAGGTCTACCTTCATGACGTTGAAGAGCACCTCCTGGCCCAGGCTGTCCTTCTCCTTGAAGAACTCGTGTTCGGGATAAGTGCGAGCGATGTCCCTGCGAATGAGCTTCTCGCAGGGCGAGGTCATCTTAAGGAGCTCAGAGTACTGATCTTTGATGGGCAGGTTCTGGGCGTTACACAACAACTGCCACACAATTGCTCGAAAGTGGTGGGGAATCCCTTTCCTGACGAGATCCTGCAAAGAAGCAAAAATAGGTCATTTTTGCAGAATATTAAGACATTAAAGGATCCATGTTTATCGAGACATACGCAGAGAAATCAGCTGCAAACCAAAGCAAATAAAGAAATACGTTTTAGACTCGATCGGCAACTGGCCAAAGTAAGGCGGCAACTGGTTAAGCAGACAGAGACACTCTTCAGTATAAAACTGTAGAAAGAGGATAAAAAGGCCAGTTTTAGCATCAGTGCTGTCTGCTCAAAATGTTTGGAAAATCCATGGTGACAGCTGTGTTAGTGGTGTTAAGGGCGGGTTATCCTCCCGCAGCAGTGTGTCGTGGTGAGCTTGTCGCATATATTTTTGATTTAAACCCAATATTGAAGCGCAACTATGTTATTCCACGCCACAACGCCAGAGCGACAATCAGCAACTAGCTGTGGGTCTAGATACGGCCGAGGCGGTGAGGAAGTGGGGGCAAGTTTGTGCAACAATGGAGGGACATGAGGGCCAAAAAGAGCAGGAATCCAGGTGGAAAAAGGGTACCAGCGTTATTGCGCATCTCGCTCTGCTAGCTGGTCCATCTTCACGAGTCGTTTTCCACAATGGCGGTCATACAAACAAAACAAGCAGGTAAGTTACCAAACGGAAAATGCGCATAATGTAGAGCAGACATAGATTTGACCAATCAGAGGCCTCTTGTCTACGGGCACCTACAATTTTGGAGACGTGCAGCAGAGTCGCTGCGGAAGGGGCGGGACATATCTGTGTTTACTGCGATGCAGACAACCTGGTTTCTGAGTATAAATCAGCCTTTAGTCTCGCTAACCTTGCTATCTGCTAACATAGGCTGCTTAAAGGGATGTCTACTCAAAATTTCTTTGGAAGTATTAATGAAATCCTGTTATAAAGGAGGGGCAATAAAAAAAACAAAAAAAGAAATGGTTGTGGTACTGTTCTTTTGTGCATCACAATATAGAGAGAATATGTGTCATTAAATCAGATTAAATTTTAAAAGCAGGTCAAAGTTAGAGATTAAATGATCTATACATCTCCACAGAATCATTATTTAATTTTCATCAAAAATGCAGTGTTAGTAAAAATACTAACATTCCCCGTAGAAACCTTTCCCTGAATCAAACCATCTGTGCTGAATAATGCTTCTGAACAAAGAGAGATAAATCAACGTCTAAACAAACAAAAAGAAAACTCCCTGAGGGTGAATCTGTGACCCAAACACCTGCAGTGGACTCTTTAAACCCCCAAAAAGGTCTCGTTTTTCCGCAGCACTGTTTATTATTCCGACTGTAGTGAAGAAAGCAGAGGACCCAGCTCATTTTGGCTGAGGCGTGCATTTTTAAAAACCTTCCTGAGAGGAAACCCATGACTCATGTACGGAAGAGGATTGGGGCCACTGAAAAAAAAAAAAAAAAAAGTTAACTTATCTTTAAATTTTATTTCAGTTTAACATGGGAAAAAAGTCAATTCTGACTTTTTTCTCAGAATTCTGACTTTTTTCTCCATACTAAACTGAAATAAAATTTAAAGATAAGTTAACTTTTTTTTTTTTTTTTTTTTTTT